GGAGATCATGGCATAGTGGTGTAGCATGAAGCTCATGATCCACACTTCTTGCTATTTTGTAGGAGTATTCCTTTGGCCTTGGAGATTAAGTCTCCTTAATGAATAATTAAAATCTATAATGCTGACTTAGCATAAGTTAAGGAATAGGGCCTCAGTTAATACATTTTGACCCACCAAATAAAAAACATAAAATAAGAAATAATGAGATCATATCCCATTTGGGCCTAGATGGACTGTTCATTTCTCCATAACATGGATTGTTTGTTTCTTGTTGCAACATCCTGTCCATTGGGCTTCCCATAAAAAAATAATGAGATTATATCTCAAAATGGGCTTCCAAATTATAAGAAAATTAAAGCTTTGGGTTTCTCCTTGACTGACCATGCCCACGTAGTCTTCCTCATTTGGAGTTAAATAAAAAGGAGTCCAATCCACCGTTGCAAGCTACCCGCAAATAGCTTCTCGCAATCTTGCTGCCCGGGCCCTTGTTAAAGGCCTTTCTTGCACTTGTAAGGGGTCATTTGTTGGCTTTGAAATGCTCGGATCTCCTATGTCCTCATCAGCTCCCTCCCCCTTAGAATGATTCGACCACGAATCAAGATCATCACCTACATCAAACGGAGACAAGTGAGTAACGTTAAATGTAGCACTTACGTTACCATACTCACTACGAAGATCAATTTTGTAGGCATTGTCATTGATCTTTGAGATGACTTGAAATGGACCATCGCCCCTAGGCATAAGCTTAGACTTGCGTTGGTTAGGAAACCTCTCTTTACTCATGTGTACCCAAACCCAATCTAAGTACGCCTCAGGATCATTTTTACCTTGAAAAGAAGGGATTCGCATTTTAATACCACTTATGTTATTATCTTCCTCTTCATAGTCCCTCCCATTCCTATTTCTCCTTCTACCACAATCACGGTCAGCAGGTTCCTCCTCAAAGTCATCTTCCTCATCCCTCAGGAACTCCCTATGAACCCTCCTACCACCTCTAACGTTACCCCCTTCCCGTACGGGTGCATTTCCTCCTTGGTTTCGGAGTTCTTGGATGGCAGCGTCCTGAAGTTCTAATTTGTCTTTAATTTCATCAAAGACAACATTAAACCTTTGAAATTGTTGTTGCATTGACTTGATCATAGTACTCACATCCTAAGTATCTTCGGGGCTTGTCATTTTTTTTTTTTAGGAAATAAAAAAACCAGAATAATGCAACTTGCAAAAGACACGTTAAAAAAAAAAAAAAAAAACAAAACACAGACCTCACGTCACTCCCTCACCCACACTCTATTTCTGGTTGCTCAAGATTCACTCGTGTTTAACACTCATAGAATACTCTTTCAATTTCAGCTTGTACTTCCCGCACTCGTAGAGTTATAGCAAGTGCGCAAATTTCACTCCGCAATCATGTACGAGTTAAGCCTCATGGTGTGGCAGAATTTGAAGAGGAAAAATTATGGAGATAGACAAAAAAAACAATGAAAATTCTGGAGTGTTTTCATAGCAAAGGAATAAAAGAATTGCAGCTTGTCCCAATACTTTTCTCTATGCACATAGCATGCAAGGACACATAGCTTTAATAATGGACACTAATCACATGCACACTTGTTGTGTTCACATGTCAATTGCTGTAGAAAGAACAAATGATTCTCCCAAGAGAATAACAAATTGATTCTAATAAGATGCATGCATTTTTTTCCGTTTTTTTTTTTTTTTTGTTTTGGTAGAGACCACGTATTTTTTTTTTCATTTTTTTTTTTCAGCGGATGCTAACCTTGAGTTTTTGTGTTTTCTTTGTTTCTGGGCAGAAGCTATACGTAAACAGGAAAGAGAAAAAAAAAACCTGGAGTTTGCGTGGTGTTTAACCTTGCTCTGAATACCAAAAGATGATATGAATTGCCCCTGGCCGAATTTGTTGCGGTTCGCTTCTGTGGAAAGGAGTGTTTGGTTGGCAATGCGGGGGAGATGGAATTCTCGAATCACACGAGTAAGGAGATTAGGATGAAGCTTAACGTCATGCACTCTCACAGCACAAAACTCACAGCTTCGGATGTAAACTCAATATAACACATGAGTTAGGAAAAGAACAAGTTGTTCTCTCTATTTCATTCATTCATTGCTTGCCCTTGTAAAAGGAAATTGGAGGTTTATATATAACCTCTGTACATGAACGTGTGAAAAGTGAAGGAAACTACCTTACAATTTATGAAGGAGATCATGGCATAGTGGTGTAGCATGAAGCTCATGATCCACACTTCTTGCTATTTTGTAGGAGTATTCCTTTGGCCTTGGAGATTAAGTCTCCTTAATGAATAATTAAAATCTATAATGCTGACTTAGCATAAGTTAAGGAATAGGGCCTCAATTAATACATTTTGACCCACCAAATAAAAAACATAATATAAGAAATAATGAGATCATATCCCATTTGGGCCTAGATGGACTGTTCATTTCTTCCATAACAGTTGACCTCTAACCCCGAAGGACCCACAACCGAAGGGGTACCTAAAAATGAATCATCTTTCTTGCAGGAGACAGTGGATGCTCAAGACATATCACCGGTGATAAAACAATTTTGAGCAACTATAAAGAAATTGATGGTCCAAAGGTGATCTTTGGAGGAGAAACGAGTGGGAAAACTCGTGGCACTGGAGACATTATCAAGAATGAAATAACAATTCAAGGTGTCTCATATGTGGAAGGGTTGAAATTCAATCTACTAAGCACAAGTCAATTCTGTGACAAAGGCTACAATGTTGAATTCTCCAAAGATAAATGAAACGTCATCAGCACGAGAGATGGTGAAACTGTTCTCACAGCCAAGCGAAAGAAGAACATGTATGTCGTAACTTGGAATTTATCTAATGCTAACGTTTGTCTTGTCGCAAAGAATAATGCAGATCTAAGCTGGGATGGCACAATAAACTGAGCCACTTAAATCTAAAGACCATCAACAAGCTCGCAAAGAAAGATCTAGTAGAAGGTCTACCGAAAGCAACCTACGTCAAAGACAATATCTGCGAGGCTTGCCAAAAAGGGAAGCAAATCAAAGCGTCATTCAAGTCCAAAGAATCAAACATAAATTCTCGACCATTAAGCTTATTGCATATGGACTTATTCGGACCAGTTGACCCTGCAAGTCTGAGCTGACGAAAGTATACTTTGGTCGCAGTAGATGACCACACGAAATATACTTGGACATTATTCTTGAAGAAGAAGAATGAAATAGAAATTGTGCTACCTGATCTCCTAAGACAGCTTCAGACTAAAAAAGAAGTCAACATAATAAGGATTAGATCAGATCAGGGAATCGAATTTGTAAACAAGGTCATCAAAGAGTTCTGCGGACAAAATGGCATATTCCACCAACTCTCGGCAGCACTAACTCCACAGCAAAATGGAGTTGCCGAAAGAAGAAACAGAACTCTGAAAGAAGCAGCACGAACAATGATCGCACATTCCGATCTGCCGAAACGCTTTTGGGCCGAAGCCATAAATACAGCCCACTACACGCAAAATCGATCATTGATCAACAAAGCTCACAACCTGACCCCATACGAGTTATGGAAAGGTAAGAAACCTGTTATCAGTTATTTTCACTTCTTTGGATGCAGGTGTTTCATTCATAACAACGGGAAGAACCATCTGAGAGCCTTTGACGAAAGAGCTTATGAAGGACTGTTCATGGGATACTTTTCAGTTAGTAAAGCATACAGAGTTCTCAACAAAAGAACAATGGTTATCGAAGAATCTATCCATGTTAAATTTGACGAACAAGCCGAAAAGATCCCAGCGGAGATAAATAACTCAAATGTGCAAAGCTCATACGTTCATGAGAGCATAACACTTGAAGAAGAAGACTCATATCTTGAAGATCATCATTCATCTTACATGAGATATCAACCAAAGTCCTCGCTTCCCAAAACTAGAGCTCAAACTGTGGAGGAAACACAAGCCATTGATCAAAATATTCAATCTACCTCTGATCATATGATATTTATTGATCTACCCTACATTCTTGAAATGGATGGTCAAATTCAACAAACATCCTTTGAACCAGATCTAAGATGGCTAAGAGACCATCCACCTGATCAAGTCATTGAAATATACAAGAAGGGGTAAGAACTGGAGCATCTTTACACGAAAACATGATGGCTTGCTTTCTTTCACAAATGGAACCAAAATCCATTGATGAAGCTCTAAATGACCCAGACTGGGTCATAGCTATGCAAGAAGAACTTCACCAGTTTGAACGAAATAATGTATGGGAACTTGTTCCAAGACCAACGCACCAAAATGTCATTGGAACCAAATGGGTATTCAGAAACAAAATGAGTGAAGATGGACTAATTGTTAGGAACAAAGCACGACTTGTTGCTAAAGGCTATTGTCAAGAAGAGGGCATTGATTTTGATGAAACCGTCACCCCAGTTGCTAGGCTTGAAGCAATAAGAATGTTTCTAGCCTATGTAGCATACAAAGATTTCAAAGTCTACCAAATGGATGTCAAAAGTGCGTTCCTAAAGGGCCTTTTGGAGGAAGAAGTGTATGTAGAACAACCACCTGGTTTCACTATTGATTGTGGACATGAAAAAGTATATCATCACAAGAAAACACTATATGGACTAAAACAAGCTCCACGAGCTTGGTATGATACTCTTTCATTCTTTCTCATAAATTGTGGATTCACGAAAGGAGTTGTTGATAAAACACTCTTTCGGATCAAAAATGATGATCACGTGTTACTAGTACAAATCTATGTTGATGATATCATTTTTGGATGTACAAATCCAGATCTATGTGAAAAATTCTCAAACCTCATGCAAGGAAAGTTTGAAATGAGCATGATGGGAGAATTAAACTACTTTCTTGGCTTACAAGTCAAACAATGTCCAGAAGGGATATTCATCAATCAAGCCAAATACACAAAAGACTTGATTCGTAAATTTGGAATTGATGGAAAATCCTCAGTCAAAATTCCTATGAGTACATCGCTAAGAATGGATATTGACAACGAAGGAAAAGATGTTGATCAAAAGAACTTTCGTGGAATCATTGGATCTCTTCTCTACCTAACAGCAAGCAGACCTGACATTTCTTTTGCTATTGGGGTATGCGTAAGATTTCAATCCAAACCCAAAGAAAGTCACCTAAGCACTACCAAAAAGATTTTAAGATACCTAAAGGGGACCCAAAGTGTAGGACTTTGGTACCGGAAAGGAGGTTCTTTCGATCTAGTTGGCTATTCAGATGCCGATTTCGCTGGTTGGAGAATTGATCGAAAAAAGCACCTCAGGAACCTGCCAGTTCCTAGGGGGAAGAATTGTATCCTGGTTTAGAAAAAAGCTAAACTCAATTAAAACTAGCATAGCTGAAGCCGAATACATTGCGGCTAGCAGTTGTTGTGCTCAAATCTTGTGGATGACACACCAATTAAGAGACTATGGTGTAATAGCTCGAGAAGTATGCATAAAATGTGACAATACAAGTGCAATAGCTATTACACACAATCCTGTTCTACACTCTCGAACAAAACATATTGATATTAAGTATCATTTTATTCGTGATCATGTCGAAAGAAAGGATATCTCTCTTGAATATGTCAACACTGATGATCAATTAACAGATATTTTCACTAAACCACTTTGTGAGAATAGATTTGCTACTCTTCGACACGAAATCGGGATGATTGAAATGACCTAACATGTTTGCGTGTGGAGAGGTCTTCTTCCAAAAGATTCCTGAAAAGATTCCATAAAGCAAATCTTGGGAAAATAAAAAGGGCACTTGTTAGACTACTCTTGCACGCAAGATGACATCCCTTCGTGCTATAAAAGGACAAATTATGTCGATCAATAAGCTCACACTAATCCTTTATTGTGCCACCCGGTAATTTTAGGCAATAATATAATTTTGAGGAAATTATTTAGTTCACCCTTAAAATATTTTTGTATGTTGCCAAAAGAATTTTCGAAAATTATTCCTAGAAAAATTAAATTGTTATAGTTATCTATTACGCCTAAAGAAAGCCATATATTCTGTTTCGTATATATATATATATATAATTTGCTAAGAAATAAACCAAGAGATGAAATGCTGTGGTGGTTTGAGACTTGTATGCTAATCTTGAGATGTTGAGTTCGATTCTTCCCAATTGCGAATTGGTTATCTTGTTTTGATTTTAGCAGAGAAATGATTGGATGAAAAAAAAAAAAAAAAAGGTGATTAGCCATTATTATAATGATTGGAGTGATTAGTAGACAAATCAGTATATTGTTAATTGATTAGCAGTAGATTAGGGACAAATTGGATGGATTAGCAGTAGTTATATATTCTTATTCCTGATTGATGATTAGAAGATTTATATTATTTATTATTATAAGAAAGTGAAGCATTATAAGAAGGGGGTAGGGAGATGAATCATAGGAAGGAAAAGAAAAAAGAATGAAAAAGAAAGAAAGCAGACGAAAAGAAAGAAAGAAAGAAAGAAAGAAAGAAGAAAGAGAGAGAGAAATGGGAAGAAAATAAAGACGAACAAAATAGAGAAAGAAGGATAGGAGATGAAGGTTGTGCAGTTTATAGATTTGCTAGGATCATCATTTTGGTAAGATTTCATGTTCATCAAAATTACTTTTCCCGTAAATATTATATGTTGTGTGAATATGAGTATGACATCTATGATGTGAGTTATAATGTTCATGTGATCACAAGTGCATTGTAATGTTGTGAGTAGTAATTCTCGAGCTATTGAGAATGGGTTTCGACGTGTCGAACCCGTGTGTTGTGTAAATGCTTGGCTTGGAAGTTTTGGTATTTATATATATTTATATATTTTTATATATTAAATAATGATCAAATGTGATCAATTTACAAAAAGTATTATTTTGGACAAGCTACACCATTTATATATGTGGTGAAATTCTTATTATTATTCCACGTTCATATTATTAAAGTTTGGAAAAGAAATATTTTTAATGAAAGTATATATATACATACATATTTTAGTCTTGGAGGAGTGTGATATTTGGTGCTGGTGTGAGCCGGAAAACTCACAACCAACTGATTGGAAATTTTGGTCATTTTACCGAAGTGAGCCGGGAGAACTCACAAAAATATTTTTATTATACCGGAGTGAGCTGGAAGAACTCACAAGTTTGAAATTTGTCTCAGATATGAAAACCGGAGTGAGCCGGTAGAACTGACATTGGAACTCTAAAATTATTTTCATGATTGGCTTATGATGCCTTTTGGTGGTTATGTTGAGAGCTTAAAGACTCTTCACTTGGTATCTACTCCTCCTTGATAAATATGTTATATTTTGGAAAAATGACGTGGAATGTTTTGAAAAATGATTATTTACTAAGTAATACTTGGAAAGTCTCTACTATGTTAATTATACAAAAGTATACATATATTTATATATATATGGTTTGCAAAAGTATAAGAGTATATAAGTATTTTAATTTGAAAATTTTATAAAATCCGAGCCTATTATTTTACGGGGTGAAATGGAACTTACATAGCTTATGCTAATTTTGTCTATATTCTAGTTTTGTGTGAAATGATTATTACAGGTGAACATGAATAAGGATTCAAGTTGAGAACGAGTTTAGTCTATTTAAGAATAGACAGCATGGAAGATTTGATATTCTTGAGAAAAATATTGTTGTATAGTAATTTGAAATTTTATGTATTAAGTTGATTTTGATATATTAGTTGATGTTGTAAATTTAGCCTTAACTCTTAGGTTGTTGGTTGCCTAAGTGTGGCGGTAACACCCTTTATTTTGGTTAGTTAATGCTTCCGCTAGAGTATCATTGAATCTTTTAATGGAGAAAATGTATTAAAATTAAGGAAAATTTTGTTATAAAATTTGGGGTGTTACATTTATTCAAGTATATTTTCTTTGGAAATTTCTTGTTTGCAGGTATGAGCACAGGAAAAGGAAAAGAGAAGACGGATAAAGAATGTGAAGAGCAAAAACCAACCAACCTGAAGGCTGCTCAAATCTCAGAGAATCAACCTAATGAGACAGAAATCTTCCATGATCCTCTTGAAAATGAAGAAAACAAGGATGCTCTAAACAGAATGTTAGCAAGTTCACAATACTTGCAGAATCTCCTTCATGATCCTACTGAACACGAATCATTTCATTTCATTGGCACTCATGTGGGATACACTGCCGTGGATAGTGTACTCGAAAGGAGTGAAAGCTATGACTACTCACCATCAAGCACTCCACCAAAATTTTCCTCACCTCTTAGATCAACTGCTAGCAGCAAGAAGAAAACGAACTAATCAAACTAATCTTTGTATCCTTTCTTCTATGTTAACATAATAAATATCTCATGAACACAAATGCAAACCTCTTGAATGAAAATTCCTGTTCCTTGCATCATATATCCATTGGATAAAAACATAAGAACTATATGAAAAGTTATGCTACAAAATCTCCAAAAGATTCCAAAAAGGAAGAAATAGTACTTGAATCCAAAATATTTTGAAAAGATCTTCACGCAACATTCACTTTGTGCGCCTATAAAAAAACTTCCTCTTTAACGAGAAATATTCATCCTTACCCACTAACATATTTTAGTGTTTTAGTAGTGTTGATTGCAGGAATGAATCAAAACAAAGTTAAAGGACGAATGGATGAAGCAGAGAAACGAGCCATTTGACGAGATCATCATCTAATGGAAGCTAGCAAATTAACAAACGCTACAGTCATAAAAATGGAAGAAGATGGCGATAGAGTAAACATCACATACTCTCTGCCAAACACAGCCAGCAAAGAAGATAAGGAAATCTTGGACAAAACTGTCATGGAGTCTCAAACAAAGAGAGCATACCATCTGGAACAAGCCCAAAAATTGGCGAACGAAAGGATAATGGTCTTAAAAAGTGCACATGGAAATTCATCTAAAGGATCTCCACCCACCTTTCGTTGGTACCCTATCTCTGATGTTCCTAAACAGGATGAAAAATCTTATGAAGATTTCTCTCTTGCTCACACTCAGTCACCAAGCAGATTGCTTTAGCCCACCCTCTCACTTGAGGAACTGGACGAATATGCAAAAATGGCCAGCATTTCCGAAAGGACTTATGAGATAACTCGCCTGGAACTTCACATGCCTTATCGTTTTCTTTAAAGAATTATTCGTGTCTATCTCATATGTAAGGCATGGTTATCTACGTTCTGGTTTCTTTTAATTAAAGGTCTATGCTTCCGGGTATCAGTCATAATGGTCCTCTTGATAAAGTCCTCAAAATGCTGAAAAGTTGTCCCTTGTCAAAGATCATCGTAATTACTAAGTTGGAATCTCATAAATTGTTCAACCATGAACTTGAGAGTTATGCGGAATTTCATGATCTTAAATGTGATGATCCTAATAAGTTACAAAGTTCACGGGAATTAATTTTTCTGAATTTGTTGTCCAATACATAGAGGACACGTCGACCATGATCTTGATTAACATTAGGACTTCATCCAAGTTATCAGGACCACGTTGAAAACGATGCATATGCATTGAATGGATGCATCAAGTTCTGGCTATAAAAGGAGGACATTAGCAATGGTTCATTATCAGCATCTCAAAATTTGTCTAAAATAGCACCTCGTAAACCCATCACCAGAGATACAACAAAAAGAATCATAGAAAGGGCTCGTCTTGAGCGAGAAAAACAGGGTGATCTGTATCCTGGAAACAGCATGAGAGCTCCATTGGACACATCCTCAGATTCAGACCTCGGGCACTATGATGGATTCATCACATATGAATCTGAAAAAGAACCTTCAAAGGCAGACCCGAAAGAAGAACTTCCTCTTATCGTCAGAAAAGGATTCCTATCTGAGAGATCCTGGAATGATCCAAACATGGACAATGATCTTCGTAGCTTCTTCAGAGCATATGACTGCAAAACCGAACTTGTCGGATATCCAGATGTAGACCCTTTTGCTGAAACAGAATCCTCCGTTGGCTCATCTCGCCCTGGCTCTTCAACACTCAAGAAGAAAACCAGAAAAGATGAGGGGGAACCCAGTAATGCAAAGAAAGGAAAAGAGAAAAGGTAGAATCTTCTCAGAATATTTTAAGATGTAATGTGGTACTCTTCGCCTTGGAATAAAATGTGACTTATTATGTTTCAATCTTTTTCTCACAGGGAGATAAATTTTTATTTGATTTATTTTATCTTGTTGAGAATCGAATCATGACTGATGCACAGTGTAACACCCCCTAATTTCCATTCTATTTAAAGCCTTAAACATACAGATATCTAAACCAAAACATCAAACACAGCGGAAGACTGAAAGAGGAAATATATAAACTGGAAGTATAGGGGTGCTATGCCACGCTCACCTAAGGGTGAACGCACAAGCTAACATCTGCATTGTACAAAATCTAAAATCGAACATCATTAAGTACTAAGTCTAAATTGGCTCACAGGCCACAAAACATAAGGGAGGAGCTACTCTAGCTGGCACTAAACCGCGCACTCGTCTAAGCATCATCTGTAAGAAGCATATAAAACATGGGACGACGCCCGGTCAGCGAATAATGCTGGTAACCCACCAATACATGTGAAATATCATACATAGATAAGATATAACTTTGTAAAGCCATTTTCAAAACGGAATACATATATATATATATATATATATATATATATATATATATATATATATAAGTCCAAAACCAAGAGTAATATTCAACACAAGACTCAAACACTCTCAACAAGAACACGGGAACACATCCCAAGACTACAAAGAACAATAACGACTCACAAGAAGTCTCAAGGTATAATCTATCATCACACAATAGATTAATACCCGACATACATAACTCAAAGGAATAAGGACACACCAAATGGCAACACATGCCTTTGTGACTACACACGTCACAAGATGAGAACTCACAACAACGGCTACACAAGCCCTCGTGACATCACCCATCACGAGTTCATATGCCTTTCTTATGCCCGGTTCCAACCTTATATCTAGTTCCAACCTTTACCTCCGGGACCCTTGTACAACCAAGTCCAACCTTTTCCCTCCGAGGACCGTCGTCCCCATCCGCCGACAAACCACCAACGAAACCACCGATTCCATAGTACACGAGGGTACCGATCACACACACGGCAACACATGCCTCCCAAGAAATACGTGAACCTGACACACAGGTCACAACTCCATAATCACGTCATGGCCACCACGAGGACCACTGCAATACCTTGGTGACTAGTGTCCCATACCATTAATCGTGCAATCCAGGTAAAGCCACACACACATCACACCTCAACAGGAATCAATCAACGGATCACAACGAAGATATGAAACCATACCCAATCAAGGAAGTGGATCACAGTCCAACAACAACTATGAATAACACAAGTTATCATCAACACAGGAAGGTACAAACAACACACATGCTAGCATTTAAACACCGAACTAGCATGCTCATCAAACGGGTAAACCAAACGTAGTTCTGAAGAACACACAAGACTCATCACGGTTCAACGAAACACAATGTTGAACACTTAGCACGATTCAAGACACCAAAACCTACATGGATTCCTACCATATAGTTCTAGACATACGAAACATTAAGAAGATGCTCAAATAGTTCCACAAAAGAACATCGGGAAGTCAAAAGACCAAATACCGAGTCAAAAGAATCACGGGGAACAAATCCCCAACCAACCACACATCGTACCCCGTGGGTGGACCCACGGGTAGGCCCCTACCCGCGGTTCTGCCCGTGGGTACATTACCCACAAGCACCATGTACCCCGCGGGTGGGCAACGGGTGGACGCCTGCCCGCCGTTCCGCCCGCGGGTACGTAAACCTGTACAAAATAATCCCTTCGGGGATTTTCATCTCCAAACTCAAATCCAAGTCCAAAACATGCCAAATCTCACCAAATACAACAAAATGACTTGAATCAAAGGAATAGCCAAGCAATGGCATACAAGAACCCTAAACACAAGCTCTAGATATGCATTTTCACAAGACAATGCATAAACACTCACATTTCATAGCAAAACATATGTAGAATCCAAGAAATCATCAAATAGGTAAGCAAAATATATTTTGTAGAGCATGGGTTACCTCTTGTAGACAAAAACATTCGCTTAACACCTCACCAAGCTCCTAACAAAGCTCACCTTCCAAACCCACTTCAAGAACACACCAAAAGATCATAAAGATTCTATCTTTAAGAAAAAAACACCTTAGAAAACACTAAAAACACAAGATGAACATGGATCTTACCCTCCTAGATGCCCAAATGTATGAAAGGTAGAATCTTGGAGACAACTCTTGAAGTTTTGACAAAGCTTCAACTTGGCTTGGAAGAAAAGCTATCTACCTTTTTAGAGAGAAGGTGGAGCTAGAATTTGGAAAGTGTAACGAGAGAAATGAGGGTGTTCTACTAGGTTAGCTTACAATACTAACACAAGGTGAAAAGTCAAGAATACCCTTACTAACATGAAGAGTTGTAAGGGAACAAGGGAACTCCCTACAAAGCTCAAGGTACAACTTAGACTTTGGGGTTGACTAGTCAATTACTAGTCCCCGACTATTGAATTTTCAGGATTTTAGGAATTAAATTACCAATTGAAATAGGATTAATTATTTAATTAATCCCTTAATCAAATTTGGATTTCGGGGTGTCACACACAAGCCCCTATGAAATCTTGTGACTGTTACATTTTCTCCGTGGTCATTATTAAATTATGTGCTAATGGTTAAAGCCGTAATAAATGGCTCGATGAATAACGTAAAGACATTGAATGGTCATTCAATGTTCCATGCTAAACATCAGCTATAAAAGGACGTGAGTGTTGAACACAAATCTCACACAAACGCATTTCTCTTCTAAAACTCAGAAATAGTTTGATTATGGCACCTCGAAGGCCAGTCACATGACTGCAAACTAAACAGCAGAAAGAAGCTGCACAAAAGCTAAGAGAGGAACAAGGAGATCTCTACCCTGGAAATAGCGAACACGCTCCCCTAGATCTCTCCTTCGATGATGATCTGCCTGAAAAAGATGTTGCATCTCTCAGCTCTGAAGAGGAAGAGAATCCCATTGCTGATCTTCATGAAGCTCCACCACAAATTGAAGGAGGACGAGACTTTCCCACTGCTGAAGACTGGAAAAATCCTCTTGCTGACCGTGACTATCTCATGTACCTAAACACTAACGCCAGTGAATCTGACACTGGTAGTAAAGCAAGGCCAGCACCTACTCCTTCTGGGTCTAAGACAGTTAAGACCGCAAAGTGGTTTTGTAAGGAG